CTGGGGGCCTAGCAAACACAGGATTTCATCAGAAGAATGCAAAACTAAAAAACCCAGGTGTGGCAGCACATGCCTGCCATTCCGGAGGGGGTGGAGGCAGGTGCACACTGGGGCGGCTGCCCAGTCAGTCTAGCCTACTTGGCTTGCAAGTTCTAGGGAAATGAGACATCCTGTCTCAAAGAAGGTGGGCACTGCCTCAGAATAGCACCAGATGCTGACCTCTGCTCTTCTCTCTGTCACACATACACACACACACACACATGCATACAGTTTCACACAATCACATGTACACATCACACACTCTCTCTCACACACACTTTCTCTCTCTGTCTCTCTCTCTCACACACACACACATGCATACAAGCTCACATACACAGGCATAGCCACATGTACACATACACACACATTCTCTCTCATGCACACACATACACACACTCTCTAGCTTTCATTCTCTCTCATACACACATGCACATAGACATATATGCACAAAGTTCTCTAATACACACACACTCTCTCTCATGAGCGCACACACACTTACACATATGCATACAAGCTCACACACAAAGACATAGCTGCATGTGCACACACACACTCTCTAGCTGTCATTCTCTCTCTCACACACACAGATACACACACACACACACACACACTCAGGGATGCATCAAGGGAGACAGGAAGATGCAGCGATGCAGACTTTCAGAAGTGAGGCCCCCCAGGAGTAGCGCCTGCCTCCTGCAGTACTTCTGCAGGGCTGTGCTCCAGTGCAGGGTGTGCAGAGGGCTCTGACCCCCACATACTGCTCTGGGCACTCATTTTCTGGGGGACTCAGTGCACTGATGGGTGCAGTGGCTGCCTTGCTGATACTGTCACTGGTTTCTCCAGAGCTTTCTTAACCTGGACCAAACCTTCTTCCTCTTCAGAGCAGTCTTCATTCCCTGTGATGGCCTGTGGAGCTCTGTGGTGGAATTGCATGCTAAAGGAAGCTTAGATTCAGCTCCAGAAGGAACTATTTATCGTACGTTTACACGGTCTCCCTGGTAGCGCGGAGGACAACATCCCCAGGGATGTGCTGAATGTTTCTCCCTCCCCTGGGCTATTCTGCAGAGGCCAGGCTGGCTCCCAGAGGAGCATGGCCAAAGGACACCCGAGCCACACTGCTCAAAAATGGATCTCACCCTCTGTCCTTCCTACCTTGGCGTCCACTGATTTAGGCTGGCCTGAACATCTAGCTCCCTGTCTCCTTCTGCTGTGCCCTTTAACTGTTGTTAATAAATGGTCATCCCTGACTGCAAGGACTTCCATGCCACAGAGTTAGTACCAGGATGTTGCTCAAAAGATGAGATGGGACCGGAAGGGAGTCTATAGTGAGACCCCCAGCGTGAGGATGCAGCATGGAGATGGGACTCGAGAAGGGAAAAGGGACATCCCCCATCATGGTGGCATGCGCCTGTAGTCTCAGTACTGGTAAGGCAGGGTAGCGGCAGGTAGATCTCTGGGGCTCACTGGACACCCAGCCCAGCCAAATCAGACAGGCCCAAGTTCAGGGAGTCTCCATCTCAAATAAATAAATAAAGTGGAGAAGGAACACAATGGAAGGCACTAGAGGTTGGGCTCCCACTTCCACAGGTGCGCGCGCACACACACACACACACACTAGCACACGCATGCACACACACACTAGCACACACATGCCATATGAGGCCACAAGTCTAGTGATGTACACGAGGGTGAATATGGCCAGAGTGGAGACAGGAGAATCAGGACTGGGATGTTACCACCAAACCAAAGAATGCCAGGAGGGGCTCCATCCATTTCCTGCCCGCTTTTACCTCAAAGGTTGTAAAGGGTTTTTCTAAGAGGAGCTAAAGACAATGGGTCCGGTTCCTTCCCCAGGGAAACCCGTTTATCCTGTAGCTTTTCTTGGAACCCATAGAAGTTGGTGAGCTTGGCTCCCCCTCCCGTGCCTCAGCCCTTCCTTACTCAGCAAATATCAACAGGAAGGGGCTCTGGTCAGTGAAGCAGAACACAGCAGAGCCTTAGGCTGACTGGAGACCAGACATGATCTCAGGGGCTGTTTATACAAGCACAGCCGTCAGAGCACAGGAGAGGACATATACATACACACACACACACACACACACACACACACACACACACAGACATACACATACACACACACACAAACACATACACACAGACATACACATACCTACACACACACACATACATTCACTCAGAGCTACTTTTGGAAGTGTATAAGAAGACCTCTTAGGGAGGAAACCAGGAAAGAATTGTACCAGCCAGATAGGACTCACCATCTCCCCAGAGGCCAGAGAAATAGATGACAGTAGCTCAACCAGGGATGAGGAAAAGGTGACCTAGATCCTCCTTGGGTTATGGGGAGCCAAACAATTTCTGCAAGGGACGAAGACTCAGAACCAGTAATGGGTCCAGTTGGAAGGTCCTTGTACAATACATCAGAAGGTTTGGGTTAGTAACTAAAGAGGCTACTACTTGAGCAACAAAATAAGTAATGACATTATTGGACATCCATAGAATGAAAGAAATGCCCATTGTCTCTGGTTGATATACATGTAGAAATAATGGATAAATACCAAGGAATAGTGAGAGGAAGAATAGAGATTTCCTCAGAGTAAAATGCCTACTAACTATCAAGGGGTAAGAAAAACAGAAGCATTTGCATGAGGCAAACATCACAGTGCTTATCGTTTAAAGTGGGAAATTCTCAGTAGATGCCCAAAGTAACAGGCGAGACTATAAACAAGCCCGAGTATCCTGCCTGCGTGTGCCCATTACAATTGAAAAGTGGCATCTGTGGCTTCTCTACAGGGGGGAACATAACACCAGCAACCCTGCCCTTGTTTCTACGTGCAGAGAAGTTACCACAGCGTCTGCACTGTTCTTATTCCAGACATGTCATCCCAATTTAATGTGAGAAAGCAACAGCAAAACCCAAAGTGGGATCCAGGCTCTGAGGAGCGGGTTTCAACTTCACAAGTGTCAAAGCTGTGGAGGACGATGCAAGAGTCTGAGTTAGAGCCATGAGAATAAGCCAAGTCATCTTCCAGGAAAACACATTCCCGGAGAACAAGTGAGGTCTATGGGTCAACACCGAGCACCACACCAACCTTACTGTGCTGACGTTAACACGGTTACATTGTTTCTTTTGCATTTAGGCTAAGTGTTAACCTGGATTAAAGGTGGGTGGGTGGACTGGAGCCTCTACGTTTGTGTTGCTGTGAGGGTTGTTTGTCGGTTTGCGTGTTTAGGATCTTTTCTGCAATCCCGGCTGGCCTGGAAGTTACTGTGTAGCCCAGACTGACCCAAAACTTGCATTAACATCTTGAGTGCTGGAATTACAATCTAGAGCTCTCTACTAATATTCTTTTTATTTAATTTTGTGAGTGGGCATGTTTGTGAGTGAGTGTGTGTGTGTGTGTGTGTGTGTGTGTATAGGCTAGAGGTTGACATTGTTCTTTGTTTTTAGACAGGGTCTCTCTCATCCTGAAGCAAGTTGATTTGGGTCAACTGTCCAGCCACCGAGCCTCAGGCATCCTCCTGTGCCTGCTTCCCTAATGCTGGGATTATAGGCACCCTCCACAAAACCCACCTTTTACTGAGGATCTGAACTCATGTCTCGTATTTGTGAGGTAAGACTTTAGTGACTAAACCATCTCCTTAGCCCTCTGTGTTCTTCTTGGTACTATTTTATAAGTCTAATGTTATTAGAAAACAGAATGTCAAAAAGAATGAAGCCAAGCTCAGCTTCATCTGGACAAGGCTGGGATGTTCTCATTTTCCACATGAGACCTGACGGAAGCTACTGAGTGGAGAATGGGTAGTGGAGACAGAATGTGGAAAACCACCAATCTCTTTCTAGCCATCTGGAAACAGTACCCAGAGACAGAGCAGGGAGTAGAGCATTCAAGGGACAGCCATTCTTATCTATGTTGTCAAGGTCAAGGCAACAGCAGCCTCTGTGCTGGCTGGTTTTATGTCAACTTGACACAAGCTAGAGTCGTTTGGTAAAAGGGACCTCAATTGAGATTATTAATGATTGGTCTTGGAGGGCCCAGCTCACTGGGAGTAGTGCCACTCCTGGATAGATAGTGGTCTTGGGAGCTCTAAGGAAGCAGACTAAGTGAGCCATGATGGGCAAGCCTTACTCCATGGTCTTCATACTGGTACCCACCATAGGTCCCTCAGTGGCTGCCTGGCTTCCCTGGACATGGACTGTTGTTCACCTGAATGTGTAGGAGGATATAAAGCCTTTCCTCCCCAACGTGCTTTTGGTCAGTATCCTATCACAGTGATGGAAACCCTGGCAGTGGGGAGGACTTGGTAGAGAAGAGAGCAAGGGGACCTGGGAGATCTGGGAGCTTAGGGAGAACGCATGCTCAAGGGAAGGGACTTAGGGAGAACGCACGCTCAAGGGAAGGGAAGGAAAGGTAGTAGGTGAGGCTGGGATTCCCAGAGGAAAGGTTGGGGAGAAGCCCTAGAGGCTAGCTATCTTCTTCAATATGTGTCCCCAGCGTTTTAAAACCCAAACAGACATATCAAACCACCTTGCTTAGTTTTGTGAAAAAGAAGTCATGTCTACAAGGGTAAATATTAAGTCGAGTATTTTTTTTTTTTTTTCAGTCCTTTAAACCCAAATGCTCATCTGACTATTGTCCTTTAGGTAAACAGCGGCCATTCTTATTCCTGCTTCTAGTGACCACCTCCTGCAAGATACTAAAACATCTGTGGTGAGAAAGTAATTCTACATAGCCATATAGAAGGGGATGTAAAGCCTTATGTTCCCAGTGTGGGTTTTCAGTTAGAAACCTTAGCTGTTTAGAATAACCCTAGAAGAGCTATGTGCTACGTGATCTCAACTGTCCCCCAGTGCGGAGTCCACTGCTCTGCGCTGAACCCTGGAACCATGCTGGAAACAGACGCCATGACGTGGTCTGGAAGGGGACCCAGCAAGCACCTACCTCCCACCGCGTTGCAACGGGACGTCATTTCCCAGAGTACCAGGGCCATGGAGTAGACATCTGTCTGCTTGAAGGACTCCACGTTTTCCAAATTCATCCTGGATTCTAGAACTTCAGGGGCCATGTATCTTGCCGTTCCCACCTAAGGGGGGGGGGAGGTGAAACACAGAATGAAGCTCCTGATTTCATTTCAAGTTTGACAGAATTTGTCGCAGGGGACTCAAGCTTGGGCTTCTCGCATGCAGATGATTTTCATGTTTGTTTCCAGCGGTCTCTTCTTTTTACTCTTAGATAACTTCATACCTGCATACGATGTATTTTGATCACGTTCACTCCCATTATCCCCTCTTATTTGCTGCCCACTTCTGGAACCCCTTCTTGCTAATTAGTCCCCTACCCACTTCCATGTCTTTTCTAAAGGATCTACTGCTTTCCGTTAGCACTGCTTAAAAAAGCCTTGTGGGGGCTTTCCAGGGTCAGAGTAATCCACAGTGGCTGCATCACTGAAAAAAACAACATGGTTTCTCCCCCAGCAGCCAGTAACTGGCAATAGCTCCTCAGCTCCAGGTGTGATGTTTTTCTTCTTAGCCCTTCCTTCCTTCAACCCTTCCATCCCATCCATCCTTTCTTCCTTCTTCCTTCCTCCTTCCTTCCTTCCCCCTCCCTCCCTTCCTTCCTTCAACCCTTCCATCCATCCATCCTTTCTTCCTCCTTCCTTCCTTCCTTCCTTCCTTCTTCCTTCCTTCCCCCTCCCTCCCTCCCTCCTTCCTTTCCTTTGGACACTGTTTCATGCAGCCCAAGCTGACCTCATGCGGTGTGGCTGGTGATTACCTTGAACCACCGATCCTCCATTTGCAGCTGAGAGTACAGACACACCCTGCCACAGCCACTTTTTGTGGGTGTTAGGAACCTAAGCCAGGGCTTCGTGCACACTAGGCAAGTGCTCTGCTGACTGAGTTACAGCCCCAGCCCTCCGCAGGTGCCCTCTCTAGGAAAACCACAGTGCTGTTTTAAATGATGAGAATTACACAGGCAGACACACACAGAGTATTGTTTTCTCTCTCTGAAAACCCTTCAAAGACTCTAAACAAAACATGCCCACACAAGTGTTCCAGCCCAGAGCCACTAGTGTGATTGCATGTGTCATCCTATTAGTCAATATTCTCGTAGGTAACCCCGAGGGCCACATCTCTGATATTTTAGATGCTTACATTGTTTAAAAGATTTATTTGGTTTTATTTCACGTACCACATGTGTGACTGGTGCGGACAGAGGCCAGAAGAGGGCATCAGATCCTCAGGAATTGGAGTTACAGACAGTTGTGAGCTGGTGTATGAGTGCTCAGAACAAAACCCAGGTCTCCCAGAGGGACTAAGACTCAGTCAGGGTCCACAGAAGGCAGACAGACAGGGAGAGGGGCTACGGAAGGCTAGGTAATGAAGGTGATGAACTTCCAAAATGGCTGACTTCTTCCTCACTCTGGTGACCTGGTACAAAATCCTGACAGTTTAAAACAAAGACCTCACGGGCTGTTTGTCTCTCACCAGCAGATCTCCAGATGGAGAGGGTCACCAAGACCAAGGCCTGGTTAGAACAGGCCGTGTAACAGTTGAGGCAATCAGCTGTTCCAACTTTCTTCAAACTGACCAACCCCAAATTGAAGGAGGAAGACCCTTCAGAGAAGATAAATCCCCTGCCCTCTAGAAGGGCCTGGATTGTCAGGTTCCTTGTCCCTCTATGCCCTGCAGACCATTCTTCTATGTGTCTGCTGCTTGTCTGTGTCTCTGCAATCCAATAAACACCTTTCTTCAATTGCTGCTTCTTCCTGTTCCTGTTTGCTGCTGTTCCAGATTCCTCCATGCACAACTTTCCATGCTTTTCCCTACCTTTTATTTCTTTAACTGTCAGAGAAAAGGGACCTGGTCAAAACCCTTAGACTGACATCCCCTAAGAGCAGCAAGTTCCCTTAGTTGCTAAGCCATTTCTCCACCCCCTTACATATTTATATTTGGTTTTGCAATTAAGATTTTTTTTTCATCCTTGTAATGCTAAAACTCATGGAAAATAATAGCCACCCATATGGGTCATTTAAGGACCATTTAATTTTAATTTACCCCGTGGCCCATATGACATAATTTCGTAAATCTTTGCTAAATTAAAGTCATATGAAAAGACCAAATCATACCATAATTTCCATGAATGTGACATGTAGCTGCATTCTGGTTACTTAGACTTGTGATCAATTTTATGAGTGACATTAAACAGAGAGGGTCCACAGGGAAAAGGGAAAGCTATTTCTAAGGGAAGTTTTTCAAATGGAAATGCCTGCTACTACCACAGCATATATGAGTTCATCCAATGTCAATCACTGTCCTGTCATACAGAGATCAAATAATGTAATGCTCCAAAAAAATGTAATGTTCCAAAGAGCAGTTCTTATTGGCATGTCTTAGAAGATATTTTTCTTTTTAACAGCGTGCCCTGTGAGTCATTGTCCTAACATAATAATTTATGTTTCAGCAAGATGACCTCCTCAGAGCATGCACTGCCATGGACAGAATGCTGGCAAGGCAGAAACCTCACAAGTTCGGTTCATTTCGGGTTTTAGAGTGTGCCCTGTTAGGGAACAGCCATGCCCCTGATGGAGCCACTGTGTTAGTCCTCAGCTGTCACCAGAAAAGGAGATACTCCAAACATGCCTTCACCAAAGGGTTTCCATTTGGATCTGGGACAATGCTTGTGGAATCATCAAGCTAGGAAGGTGGCTTAGCCAGCAGAGAGCCTGCCACACAGGCAAGAAGACAGCACTTCAGTCCCCAGCCTCGAAACCAAGGTGGTAGTGGTGGCACACCCTTGTAATTGCACCAGTGTATGGAGTCTGGAAGAGACAGGATCCCTGGAGATATCTATCCATCCAGACTAGACAAACTGGAAAGCTCCAGTTTCTGTAAGTGGCTTTACCTCACAAAACAAGGTGAGTACTAACGGAGGAATACATCTGGGCTCCATAGAAAAACGTGGTATGTGTGTGTGTGTGTGTGTGTGTGTGTCCGCACGCGCGCACGCGTGTGTGTGTGGTTAGGTGCACATATGTGTCAGTGCACACAGAATGACAGACAGACAGACAAATGGAGCTGTTTGCTCCTTGGACAAATACTTATTGGTCGCTTTCACAGCCTGAGGCATTGGGCTGGGTATCTTTGGTAACCTCCTAAGTGTGGATTTGGACACACACACACACACACACACAGCTAATTTAAAAATTACAGAAACTGAAAGGAAGATAGAGATGAGGCCAGGCATGAGGTCAGGGTCTGGAGCAGCAACTCTCACTCACCTGCCCGCTGTTGGCCAAGTCATCCACAGACAGAGTGGGGTCCAGGCGCAAGGACAGCCCAAAGTCACACAGGCAGCAGGTCAAGTCATTCTTCACGAGGATGTTAGAGCTCTTGAGGTCCCTGTGAACGATGGGCATCTTGGGTCTCCCACACGGAGTGTGGTCACTGTGGAGATGAGCAATGCCCCTGGCAAGGGAGCTGCCCAGCTTACGCAGGTCCTCCCAGCTGATGACATGCCTTGTGAGGTATTCCTGCAGGTTGCCCTTGGCGTGGAAAGCCGTGATCAGCCAGTACTGCTTGCCCAGCTCTGTCTTGCGCTCCTCAGCAGTCAGGAACTGCAGGATATTCTCGTGTTTCAGGTTGATGTCTGAGAAGATGTCCTTCTCCGTCTTCCAGGAAGTGTACTCCTCGTAGGGGAAGATCTTGACAGCCACGGTCTCAAACTGCTCTGAAGTGTTCTGCTTCAGCTTGGCCTTGTAGACCTCGGCAAAGCGGCCCTTCCCCACCAGTGTGTCCAGCTCGATGGGCAGCAGCTCCGTGTTGTGATTGATGTTGTTGGCACATGTAGAGCTGATGTCCGAACGGTCATCCTCCAGGATGATGGCGCAGTTGTCGCTGAACTCCATGAGCTTCCGGGACTTGCTGCTTTCCCAGGACGGGCTCAGCTTCTGCTGCCGATGGACACGATAGCAGTAGAAGATGATGATCACAGCTATGGCAATCCCCAGCGGAGGCAGGAGGCTGACGCCCGTCACTTGGATAATGACCAGGAACAGGTCAGGACTGCTGGTGGTGTATTCTGATGTGGAGATAGGGCAGGAGAGCATGATTAGGTTTGGGAGGTATGAGCTACCAGGAAGCAAGTCTACAACCATGAACTGTGTCCATGGATACCAGACAGTGATTCTTAGAGTGATGCTACAAACTAGCACACCATCCATGTCCTTCCCAAGGCGAAAGCACATTAGACATGATCGAGGATACCATATCAACCAAAGTTTGAGACATAAGACATTGTTAGACACTGGGCCCAAGTGTCGTTTTCTTCAGCGATCACATACATGAGGGGGAACTGAAGCACTGACTCAGTCCATAAAGCACCCCCAGAACCCATGAAAACATGCACGTGCTTGTAAGCCCAGGTTTGGGGAAATGGAGGCAGGTGGTGGGTGGCTGAGGCTCACTTGTCAGCCAGTCCAGCCAAATCAGTGAGTCTTGTGCTAAGTGAATGAGAGACCCTGTCCCTAAAAGGGTACGTGTCACTTCTAGCATCCACATGCACACATTTGCACACTTGTGTGCCTTTCAGACATAAACACATATATGTGAGCACATGTGCATGCATACACACACACACACACAAACACACACAAATAAATCTTTAAAAAATAGGGAAAGATATATAATTTAGTAATGAAGCCTTCAAAACAATTTCCTTAAGATTATTTTATTTCTTAATTGTGTGTGTGTGTGTGTGTGTGTGTGTGCGCGCGCGCGCGCGCGCGTGCGCGCCTTCACAGGCCAAATAGGGTATCAGATCATCACTTGGAGCTGGAGTTACAGGGTAATTTTGAGCTACCCGATGTGGGTGCTGGGACAGGGATAGAGTGGTAGCAGTGGTGACAGACTATGATAGTTACACACACAAAAAAATTCCTTAATGGTAAAATTAAAGACACAGATGAAATATTATGTAGGGACCACAGCAAATCACAGCCCGTATCCTTACTACCGTGCACGTTTCTGCAAGGGAAGGCTTGCTTGTCTCAGCCCTCCACAGCCAGCTCTACATGAGACACTTTGTCATAAATCTATTTGGCCAGCATGGTCTACAGGGTGAGTTCCAGGACAGCCAGAACTGTTACACAGAGAAACCCCATCTTGAAAAACAAAACAAAAACCTGAACAAACAAACAAAACCCCGTTTGGTTCACTGACTGACTGGGAAACTCTACAGGGGCTATGACCAGGTCATATGGCACTACAGGGCTATACTGGCAACCATCATAGGCTGGGTCACTTCCATGATTTCCTGTTGGTGCTGTTAGATGAATACTGCCTTATGTTCTAAGGCAGGCAGATTTAGTCAGTTGCTGTACAGCCTTGTGATCAAGATGCCCTAACACTCTCAATAGTTCTTAAACAGAGGTGATGGGAAGGGAGGGAGAAACCGTCTATGGATGCTCGTAATAGAGACCTTCCTGCAATAAAGACCAGCCCTGCTCCATAAGGCCAAGAGTGTTTACTATCTGGTAGAATTTTAATAGAAGAAAAAATCAGCAGCCCCCTATCCTATAAATGTTATTTTAGTACCCTGTTATACACTGGAAGAATTTGGAGAGACTTTACTTTTGGTCCATTGTGAGTATTCCTTTCCACATATAAGAAAATACAATTCAGAGTTTTAACTATGGCCCGAGTCTCCAATGCCTTAAAACATCTACACAAACTGTTCATTTGCTACTGATCAGTTTACAGTTCCTAGTTACATACAGAAAATATCCTCCTTGCTCATTTCTATTTCTTCCAAGTCTGAGGCAAGCACCCAAACTAAAATTAACATGTGACATTGACTGCAGAAGGTTCTAGAAATCCCCTGGTCAGAAACCAAAGCTTCACTTTCCTTCCAGTTTCCTGTGACCTTTTCTTTTTTTCAACCTACACATAAAGTTGCACGTGTGTGGAGTGACTGAATAACATCTGTCAATCTGGAAACTTCAAAGAGGGGGTGAAGGACTCATAATAACAATTCGGGCCGGAAGGAAGCTTTGGGATGTGGCTAGGTCTAAACAAGATTCGCCCAGGCACGCCACCATGCTGGCCTCTGGGCTTCTCTATTGGAGTTGTAGGTGTGGGCACACACAGGCGTCTCCATGGCCCAAAAAGTCACAGAATGTGTTTCTTCCTGCCAACCCCCAAACAAGAGAGACCTCCCAAACTGAGCACATGCCATGCATTGGCTGGGCTCACAGGTCTTACATAATTCTTAGACTTAATTGCAGAGAGAACTAACTCTGCAGGGTACAAACAGCTATTATTTTAAGACCCAAATCCCAGAGAGGAAAGCTGAAGTTCTGAGTGTTTAATTCCCCAAGATTGACTCAGGCAATAAGCAAGCTAATGTTTGCAACAAGCTCTATTGAAACAGAGCTCTTAGCCGTGTGCTACAGTGTCTCTAAATGTCACACCAGTGACCCTGGTGAGAGCCAATGAAGAATGGCTTTAAGTAACCTTTCAATTTGACACAGTGCTTGTCTTTATTGGAGGCTATAACAGGAGCTTGGTGAAGTGCCTGGTGGCCATCTGCTCAGAGATGCAATCAATTATTTGTCTTTTTATGTGTGTGTTTGCCTGCGCGAATATATGCATACCACACCCACTCCTGGTACCCACGGGAATGAGAAGAGAGTTTTTGAATCCCCTGGATCTAGAGTTAGAGATAGTTGTGTCCCCTCATATGGTGCTGGATACTGAACCTTGGTCCTCTGTAAGAACACAATGGGCTTTTACCAGCTGAGTCTCTCCTTCTGTTCTTGGGTAGGGCATCTGAAAGGCCATACCATCATCATGGAGACTATTTCTCATTCTCAATTCCAAACTACAGTGGGGAACTACCCCTATGTAAGCATTTTTCCCTGCTAGGAGAAAAGGCTCTAACATGAGAGAGAACTTAGTAACCTGCCACGGGGCCTCATATATACGGAGACTCAAGTCACACTTGTGAAACTAGTATGACTAGTTTGCATGGAAAGTTTTTTATACAACATAAAATTAGAGATAGCTCTAGATAGTAGGATTCCTTGAAGGGTCATTTTTTTTTTTAATGAGGCTTTATTTTTATAATAGCAAATATCCTCAGCTTGGGCTCCAGGTATTTAATGAGCAAAAGGCCTCAGCTTCTCTCCCCTTTAACTATAATATATCATTTACTTTTTAAAGATAATTATTTAATATTTCATGTGTATGCGTGTGCATCTACATGAATATATGTGCACCATGTGTGTACAGTGACCTTGGAGGTCAGCAGAGCATTGTCTGTCCTGGAACTGGAGTTCCAGATGGTTGTGAGCTGCTGTGGGGTGCTGAGGTACAAATCTAGGTCCTCTGCTAGAGTGGTAAGTGCTCTTAGCTTCTGAGCCATCACTCCAGCCCCAAACTAAGTACTCTGAATCATATCTGAGTGTTTGCTGTACCCAGGATTACGTCACCAGTAGAAATCACACACACGTCCATACCACATTATATCTGGAAGAGACAATGGATGCTTGACAAATGGATGCTTTACTTATCACTTAGACATCTCGGGTTTTCTTTCTCTTCAGATCTGCTGTTAGATCCTGCCTGAGCATTATTATAGAAACATATATTCATCTATAAATTATGAGGTCATTGCATTTCAGCGCGGCAATATCTCACTCATGTTTACAAGTCTCTCAGAGCAATAGTACATGTTTCCTCTGACTTCAATTAGTCCATAGTGCAAATGCACAAAAAAACAAAGTGCCCTTGGAAAAGGAAAGGTGTCCGAGTGACAGCGTTCCGATCGCTGGTTTAAGACTGGCCCATCTCCCTGGGGTGTGGGTAGCAGATGGCACAGGTAGATATGCCTGAGTTGGTGCATGGCTTTCCATCTAAGTGACTGGGGCGTCTGCTGATGACCTTGCTGAGTCTGGGAAGGAGCTCTCTTCTGCAGTGGGCAGCCCTCTGTGATTCTCAGAAATGACAAGTAGCATATCATGAGCTTTGGCAGGCAAGGTACTAAGTGACTCATCCACAAATACTGTATGGTTTTCCCTGCAACAGTCCCAAATCAGGTTCTGCGTTCCTACATTCTGGATGTAGGTATCGGGCTGCTCATGTCACATTTACTTAGAAAGGTCCCTACAGCACCTCCCCCGGGTAGGCACTGAGTAAATAGATGAGTGTTGTCAATTTTAAAGTCCTAACTAAGGTAGTGACTTGGAGGATGCCTTTCCTTCCTACAGTGTATTTCATTCTATTTCCACTCTCTTCCTGGCCAATTTCACACTTATCCTGTGGCTCCAGATGATCACTGTGACATGCTGACATCTGTGCAGTTAGAAACTCAGTGACATCTCTCCAAGGATCTCTCTGGATGTCATGTAATGTACATGAACATATACACCAGATCACCAAGGTGAGCAGAAAGCTGCCACCCACGTCCCTTTCAAGTGCATATCCACACACGATGCCTTCATTGGAATTATTCAACTACTTTAAATATTAACATAAGAGTCCATCTGTGTTCATCAGGTTTCTATCAAGATATAAATAACAATCCGTTTAAAATTTCTGCTTGTTTCAGTTATTATTATTATTATTTGCTTTAGTCTTTGAGACAGTGTCTCACACAGCTCAGGTCAGCCTCAGATTCTCTGTATAGCTGCAGGTGACCTTGAACTTCGGATCCTCCAGCCTCACCTCCAGGGTTGTAGCATTAAAGGCGAGTACCACCATACCCAATCTTTGTGGTGCTGAGGTTGAAGCTAAGGCCCCAGGCATGTTAAACAAGCCTTCTGCGAACTGAGCAACACCCCCAGGCCTCCACTTAGAATGTTTTTGTCACCATATTGACCGCATTATTCATTTTTACTGAGTCACTTTTACTTAAAGCCATGAGAGATTTTCTGTTTTAAGTTCTGTTTAACCATCAGCATTAGATATGGGCATTGGCAGAGAACATAAGGGGCCTGGGTGTCACTAGTTTTCATAGCTCTCTCTCTCTCTCTCTCTCTCTCTCTCTCTCTCTCTCTGTGTGTGTGTGTGTGTGTGTGTGTG